AGTGTTATTCTTGTCCTACTGGACAGTTTAAAGGGACCCGTAGAAAATCAGGAAGACATTTCCAAAACTTAAAGCAGCCGAGTCATGCATCTGGTCTAAGATGCCTTTTGATTCAGCCAATAAAAAGCATATGCTGAGAGCACCAAGGTGCCTTTAAGAATAGTTCTTTGTCAGGTCTCAGTGCCTCTCCTAAAAAGCTTGTGCTTCAGACATTTCATATGCCAGCCAGCACTTCCTCCCATTCATAACCAGATCAGCTTCAAAGGGCGAAGATGATGTCACAAGACTGAATCCATTACCATTTATGGTGTGCCTTATAAAAATGAATTGCTTTCTTTTTCTTTTTTAAATGTCATTTCATACATACAATCAACACGTTTTTGATTTTAAGTTATACAAATGTGTTTTATGGCACAATTTCTTTTTAAAGTTATTCACCTGTATGTGCCTGCACTCACATTTAGCCTGTGAATGAGCTTGTGTTTATTAAACACGTGTTTACTTATCTAGCTGTTCCAAAATTTGACTCTGGGTGTCTTGACGTCAGGATCCCTTCAGGTCTCCAGCAGAATAAAAACATATTTCACTCTGACTTCCCAGGTGGTTTCAAAATATGAAAACAGCTTAATATATCTTCTATATCAGACTTCAATTTGGAGCTAGTGTTTTCTTCATAGCTTTCTTGATATTAAATCTGACAACAAACAATCTTCATCAATGAGGCTGGTTGGTTATAAAATGAGCTCCGTGATTTATTGCAGATCTGGAGGAGAGTTGGTACTCGGAGCTGCAAACACCATCGACGTTACTACTTAATAGTGCATATAGCCACCTAGTGGTAGTGTTGGTGATGAGTAAGGCTGTTGTCTGTTTTTACTGAACTGGGGATCTTATAATAGGGGCTTATGCTGTAGTGCCGGTCATTCGGATTCTTACCGCAGATCATGGTGGAGCTTTCCATTTCTATAGCTTTTCACCCCTCACTGTAACATTTTAATTTGCATGCCTTAATCTTAATTTTGAAAACAGATGAATGTATATTTTCAAGACCACAGCCTCTTAATTGAGAAAGATTGATTTTTGTTTTGGGATGTTACCTTGACCAGTGAGATCCTTATATTTTAGATCCTGTTGTTGGTCGCTACTGTTCCCTTCTTCAGCTAACGTTTCTTTTTCAATGGACTTTTTGTGAACTGTTCTATATGATTTAGATAAGTGGAAACATTTGCTTCCCTCTCACACTCACATCCTGCTTTCAGAGGGGAAAAGGTATGGGTGATTGAGATTCAAAGAACGAGTTCCTTTCTTTATTATTAAGGAAACGTTTTTGAGCAGGGTTATGTCTTGCCACTGGTGAGGACGCACGGAAGACTTAAAGACCCTCCAGGTGACTCTTTCAGCTATTGCATGACTGCACAACCCTGACGCATCAGCGGAGGACGAGACTGCAGCAATGGAAAGTATTTCAAATGAAAGTGACATTTGGCAATTCAATGAATCTTGGAGGAACTCGAGTCTCATTAACGGAACCGGTGGTTTGAATCAGACAAACCCCTTGAAGCGGAATGAAGAAGTGGCGAGGGTGGAGGTGACTGTGCTCGCCTTGGTCCTCTTTCTGGCGCTCGCGGGTAACCTGTGCGTCCTGTTGGCTATCCACACAACCAAACACAGCCAGTCTCGTATGTATTATTTTATGAAACACCTGAGCATCGCCGATCTGGTTGTGGCGATATTTCAAGTTCTCCCTCAACTTATCTGGGACATTACATTTCGGTTCTATGGACCAGACATCTTGTGCCGGTTGGTGAAATACCTGCAGGTCGTTGGGATGTTCGCCTCCACTTATATGTTAGTTTTGATGTCTATAGACAGGTGTTTGGCAATTTGTCAGCCCCTCCGTTCATTGCACAGGAGAAAAGACCGTTTATATGTCATATTTTCCTGGATCCTGAGTCTGCTCTTTAGTATCCCCCAGATGTTCATCTTTTCCCTGAGGGAGGTTGGTTCGGCCGGATCAGGGGTGTATGACTGCTGGGGCGACTTCGTGAAACCTTGGGGAGCCAAAGCTTACATCACATGGATCAGCCTTACCATATACATAATTCCAGTGGCCATACTGAGCATTTGTTATGGGTTGATAAGCTTTAAAATATGGCAAAACTTTAAACTGAAAACCAGACGGGAGCAGTGCATAAACCTGACGCCTAAAACCACCAAAAGCAACACACTGGCCCGTGTAAGCAGCGTAAAGCTCATCTCCAAGGCGAAGATCACGACAGTGAAGATGACTTTTGTGATCGTGGTGGCTTACATCGTCTGCTGGACCCCCTTTTTCTCAGTTCAGATGTGGTCTGCGTGGGATCCAGCAGCCCCCCGTGAGGGTAGGATCAATGTTTAAGTTTAATAATATGTCAAGTTCGCGCCAGTGCGCAAAGGATATCGTGCTCCACGCGTCCTTACGCACTTACATTAATTTAAAACATGCTATTCCCACCACTCCTTTACGCACCATCCACACAGTATTTACAAATGACAAAATTTATTTATTTATTTATTTATTTATTTATTTATTTATTTATTTATTTTTAATCTGGTCCTCGTTAATTTGTGCACCAGAGCTCGAGTTAGTTGAAACAGACTGACAAAGAAAACACAATTTAAGCCGTGCGTATTCGGGTGCTTCGTGTCTTACGTTTTATAATGACTCAAAGAAAACCTGGTTCTGTTTTTACTAGAACGGCAAACTGTACAGGGTGGGGTAAAGATTGGGTAGAGGTTTTACGGTGAAACAAACGCAAAGAAAACAAAACGAGGAAAGATGTCTGTGAAGGTTCTCAGTCATCCAGGTCATCGTAGTCAAAAACGAGGAAAGAGTTTCACATAAACGTTTGGAAGCGCAAAGCCAATGTGAGATATTCACGTGATTTTAACAAAATATATAATTTCCACTGATACTCCTGGGACTACGTAATTAAAAGGTTTAAATGTGTATTGCCATCATGTGACTGGCACATTCTAGGCAGGAAACCAGTGAATTCATTTTACTGTTTTCAGTAATGTTTTCTCATCTCATAAAACACATTTTTGCGGTTAGAAACATCAGTGTTTGGGTTTTTAAAGGGCAAAGCAGGGTTTTTCAAGTTTCTTTTGAGCCTCCCTGCACTGCAGAGACTGAGTGATTGCTAATCATTAACCAAATTAGTGTGCGCCACCACGCGCTCAGCAGCTTTCATTTGCGCCTGTGGGGTACACTGACATTTAGCCACAATGGCCACTAAACAGCCATCTACTGTATTTGGTCTCGGTGTGTATGGATCGGCGGGACTATGTCCACACCCACTCAACATCATAAGCTTTAACGAGTCACAATACATTTGCACATCTGAGCGACATTCTTTAAGCAGAAAAGATTAAAAGCGCATATTTATCACCTTGGTGATTAAGGAAATTAAATTTCAGCCATTAATCCGAGAGAGTTGCAAAATAATGTGCTTGCATCTCATTGTGAATAAAAATAAACAGCCAAAGGGCATTGCAAAACCTGTTTTTTGTCACTAAATCATGTGTTCTTTAGTGACCATGAAAAATTTGTCCTTTTCCACACATAAGATGAAAGAAACTGTCATGATGCCCCCCTGAGTAAAGGGGAACATTCTCTGGTGTTACGGTTCTTTCTGTTCTTCTGCTTCTGTGCGTTTGCATTAAAGGGTTCGGCTGACCGGAACTTCCTTAAGCTCCATTGTTCACACCAGATGTTTATACTTACACTTAAGTTTTAAAATAAGAGGCTTATTGCGCGATAGTTTGCTGAAAAGGCTAATTGGTGTAAGGGCACCATAGTCAGTGTCAGAGAAGCGAGAAAAGAGTGCTTCATCCTGTGAATGGAAAATGAAGTGATTCATTTATTTTCTTTTGCAGTAGGCTCCATCAGTGCAGGTTGATGATTGAAAGTGAACAGCACTCAGAAAGGGCAGAACTGGCAGTGACACACGCCAGTGTTTATGCACAAAAGGAGACAGGAATGCCATCCATGTGTGCGTGTGCAGATAAACTTTTCATTAAAGTCATAATAAATTTTTTTAAGTTAACCCAGACCAGAGTGCTTAAGAAACAACGGGAAGAGAGTTATTTAATATATGTTTTAAAAAGAATCAGCAAATGCTTGTCAGTTTTCAAATGGTATAATCATTCATTTCTTTAATCTAATATTTGGTTGGGATACAAGGAGATGACTGATTGTGCTTTGTATTACACTGGACAATTGGTAAGGATCATACAATAAAACTGAATCACTGCTCATGGGAATAAACAACTTTTGCATATTTCTCTTCTAATTTTAAGAGATATACAATTTAGAAAATGGGGAGATTCAGAGAGAAACAGTTACCCCGCTTTGTCCAGGCTTTGCCAGTAACTGCCTGCCATTCCTTCTATAATTAAAGGCCAGAAAACATTTTTGACATACTGGTTAAACAACTAATTTAAATGTGTTCCTTTCAGATTTCCATTTTCACATATTCAGTTAATTAGATAAAATTATTAATAAAAAGATGTAACACTCTTGACTACAAGTGGATAGAGTCAGGCAAGCTGTTTCCTGTTTTTTCTAGTCAATATGCTAAGCAAAATGTCTGCTTAGGTTCTTGGTCATCCAGGTAATCTAAGGATCTGGGAAAGAAAAGCAACTTGACTTCTCTAAGTTTCTTGTAGATGTTTCACGTCTCATTTGAGAAGCTTCTTCAGTTCTAAGACCAAATTATGGAGAGTCCCAGGTATTTAAGCCCTAGTGGGAGTGTCCCTTAAGAGGGTCGTTGAATCATTTGCCTCATCACATGAGCCAACAACATTGTCATGCCTTATGAAGCAGGTTTATCGAGAGAAACTCAGGAGAATCTTCTCCAAACACAACATCCCAGTGCACTTCAGACCCAGCCACACACTCAGAAAAAAACTGGTTCATCCCAAGGACAAAACTCTCAAACAAGCTAAACAATGTAGTGGATTCTGTGCAGTGCAGCGTGGAGTGCTCAGACCTGTACATTGGAGAAACCAAACAGCCTCTCCATAAATGCATGGCACGACATAGAAGAGCCACCTCGACAGGACAAGACTCAGCTGTACATCTGTATCTAAAGGACAAAGATCACTCTTTCAAGGATGCTATTTTTCACATTTTGGACAGAGAAGACAGATGGTTTGAAAGAGGAGTAAAATAAGACATTTATGTCCACTGTGAATGACTATCTTTGAACAGAGGGGATGTCTTATTAAGGAACAACTCCAACTAGGGCTTAAAATTTGGGACTCTCCACCATTTGGTCTTATAACTGAAGAAGCTTCTCAGATGAGAGGTGAAACGTGTTCAAGAAACTTGACGAAATCCAGTCGCTTTTCTTTCCAAGCTCCTTAGACTACGTTAAGCAAAGCAGCTCCAGTGCAGACAGCACAGTGATATCCATCTTCTCTTGCTTAGCTTGCAGAGAAACCAAAGTATTCCCTTGCTGTCATTTGAACAAAGCATTTGTATGCTGTATATGGTTGTGCAGCATACACACATTTAGTGTATGAATATGTCCTCAAAGCTAGTGAGTCTTTTTCCAAATTCCTCCCAAACTACTGAGATGTCAGCGTTATTATTCATGTTAAGGAGGCAGGACCTTTCACAGATGAGAATTTGACCATTTTTAGCACCTGGTTAGGCTTATCAAAGCTATTTCTGGAAATGTCATAGGATACTAAAATGTCCCATTCCTCTCAGGTTTGCTAGAAGGACATCAGCAGCATCTGTGATTTCACATTTAACAACCAGACAGATTTCATTATGTTGAGGACAAAAACAGAAGAAGGTTAAAGCCTGAGTCAGACACTCACAGAATCACCCCACCCAAAAAAAAACCCGAAAGAAAATTTAACACAAACATCTCCCCACTGAGCCTGCTGCCCTCAGACACCGGCTCACACTCTATATACTATTGATTAAGAGCTTGAGGAACACAAAGCCCCATTGTTCAATCTCCAAGTGTTACACTTTTTAAAGGACAAGATGTGAAGTGAAAGATGCAATTTACTCATAAATATCACATATTGTAATGATCAAAATGAGATTACTGCTGATGTTTGTTTGCCCACAGGAAAAAAGACTCAGTATTGGGTCATCTCAGTAATGAATTGCTCAGAAGTCTTATGTGCTGGCTATTATCAGTTGTGGCAGCCAGACGGATGTACCACCCAGGAGATGATGCTTCTTATTCTTTTCATTTGCTGAGTGATTTATTATTTCCTTGTGAAAGACACCAGGAGCTAATTTATTAAAGCCTTTTTGGGAGTAGTTCCTATTATTCAGCATCAGTGCAGGCCGTGCTCTCGCTGCTCTGATAATAAATGTCTGAAAACTGCTAGCTGATATTATGCTCTGGCTGTTTCACACACTATTGCTCAAATCGTAACATCCATGACCCTCTAAAAGTAGTTCTTTGAGGCATAAATCCAACCCTTAATGGCTATCAGTCAACTACCTTTAATCATGCATGTGACTTTCACTCCCTTCCAAAGAGCATTTACATTGATTTTTTCTTTCTTTCAAGCTTAGAAATTAAAGACAACATGAAAATGGGAGGAGCATAAACACACTGAAGAAAAGATCAGCAAATCAGTGAGATTAGGTTAAATACAGGGTGTAAAGTAATTATATATATTCCACTACTCATTTGTTAAATGTCATGTGAAAGGTGTAAACTTCATTTTGCACGCTTCTGCAGATTTCTTAGTGTAAGGTAATGACACTGCAGGGGAGCCATTTTCACTTCTCTTATTCTAACTGTTCCTCTTTGCAGGAATTCCCTTTGTTTCAGAAAGTCATCACTTTTCTTCTTTAAATAATTCACCATTTCAATTCTTTGTGTTGTATATTCCCCCTTCTTACTCTGCCAGCATCCTGAAACAGGAGCTGTTTTCAGCAGGAATGCATCTTCAGGAATATGTCAAATGTGTCGGCACAAGCAATTTTATTTCAGGTATCAAGTACTGCTCGAGTCACCGTGTGACGTTTAATGATGACTGAGGTTGCAATTATAATGCCAGACCAATTGCCATTAGTCAAAATTTTTAAATGTTGACTATTTTTTAGGAAATTTTTAAAGGAAGCCAAGCAAATATTACAGATGACTGCAGGTTGGTTTAATCTGTGGCTGCCATCGTATCAAAATTTTTACCCCATCATTAACTTAAAAAAGTATCTTTCAGTTTGTAAGTTTGTTTGTTTTTGCAAATGAATTAAACTCATAATATGATGATATGAAGGAAAATGCACAAAAGATTATTTCAATATTATCAACACATCCTCACCTCCAGCTGACTGTCGTCGTCTCCCCCCCCCCCGAGTCTTGTTCTGTTGATTTCTTCTTGTTGAAAGGGAGTGATTTGTCACACTATAAAAAGAATAGAATAGAATTGAACATGATATCAATATTTATTTTAAATATCACAGTTATGGTCAATATCAGTGTAACACGGTGTAAATCTTTCATCTTTGTAACTTTTCTCTCTCCCCACACGCAGCCATGCCCTTCATTATCTCCATGCTGCTGGCCAGCCTCAACAGCTGCTGCAACCCCTGGATCTATATGTGCTTTGCCGGGCATCTGTTCCAGGATCTTAGGCAGAATCTTCTTTGCTGTTCCACCCGCTACCTCAAGTCATCCCAGTGCCACTGTGAGCGTGACTTTAACTCCAGTCACAAGAGCAACTCTTCAACCTTTGCCATTAAGAGCACTAGCAGTCAGAGGAGCATCACACAGACTTCTACCACATAAGCTCCGGGCCCTCCATTCCCCTCCTCTCGCTGTGCCCTCAGCCGCTCACTACGTGCTGTAGACCATAAAATATCCAGCAGTTTGATTTCTTTAATGCCTCCTCACTGAGGCTTGCTGTTTAGAAGTGGGAAGACAACAAAAGTCTTAATTTTTTTTTCTGTTTTATATCAGAGTGAAGTGGAAAAGGAATTGTGATAAAAGGAAATCTTCAGCCGAGTATTCCTAGGGGGTAAAGTGCTGCTGTTTAAAACTCACAGAGAGATAATCACAGACTAAGCTGTATCTTCAGCTGATTTTTTGTTGTATTTTCTTCTTACACTTTTCATTTTAGATGTACAGTATATGTTTGCAATGCAGAAAAAGTACAGTATTTACAAAGCTTCTAAGCGCTGTCAGCCACAGCATGGGTTCAGTTAGTGTCACCAGCAGAGCTTCTGGATCCTACTTGTCATGTTGTGTTATGATGAAATTGTTCTTCTGTTGTAAATACTGCGCACCACATTGTTCATTTTGTCACATTTTCAGTAGACTGCATACCTGTAAAACATGTAAAACGTTACTTGAGTTCTTGTTAGATGTGAGATACAATGACTGTCACTGGTAAATATTTTCAAAAAACATGTTAAAACAATAAAGAATGAAAGCAACCAAAAATACACGTATGATAGAATTATTTAAACACAGCTGGTTAGTTTTCCTTTTGCCTCCTGAAAAGAGTCTAAAAAGATTCTTGGCATAACATTCAAGTTGGGAACATCCTGTTTTAGCCACAAAATTCAGTATAGGGTTGAGACCTGACCTGGTTGAGACTTTATACACTAATGAGTGTCTCATGTTTCTGTCAGACACCTGAAGGCAACAGTTGCTGCATGACATGAAAATAAAATAAGCTGTGACTAAATAACTCTGACGTGTTGACAGTCTGGATTTGTTAATTACAGCACAATGGTTATCAATACTGGTAGTCAGAAGGGACTTGAATGAAAAGCCACAACTGTATGATACAATGAATATTATAATTAAATATGAATAAATAATACTGAAAGTACAGCAACATTCCTCAGATGTGTAAAAGGCAAGCTTCATTATTATTCAGCTGCCTTATACTGATCGAGCCAAGCTTTAGATTTAATAATGAAGAGTCAAAATGATGGATTTGAGTAAGCTAATATTTACCTTGAACACTAATTGGCCACTTTTTCAGGTACAACTGTTCGAATGCTCATTAATGCAAATATTGAATCAATTAATCACATGGCAGCAATTCAATGTATTTAGGCATGTGGATTTGATCAAGACAACCTGCTGGAGTTGGAACCGAGCATCAGGATGAAGAAGAAGATCATACAACTGTAGGTGCCACTCCTGTCATCCAAAAACAGGAAATCGAGGCTACAGTTCACACGGACCCACCAAAATTGCACAATGGAAGATTGGAAAAAACATTGTTTGCTCTGATGATTGTGACAGATTCCGATTCCAATCATTTTATTTATCCCCAACTTATTGGGAAATTAAGAGTGTCACGAGTGGCATATAGTTACCCGAGTATTGCTGCCAACCGTATCACTTTATGACCACAGTTATCCATCTGCTGATGACTGCTTCCAGCAGGATAATGCACCATGGCACAAGTTCAACTCATCTCAAACTGGTTTCTTGACCATGACAATGAGTTCACTGTACTCAAATGGCCTCCACAGTCACCAAATCGCAGTGCAGTAGAGCACCTTAGAGATATGATGGAATGAGAGGTTTTCATAATGAATGTGCAGCCAGCAAATCTGCAGCAGCTGTGTGATGCTATCATGTCAATGTGGAGCAAAATCTCTGAGGAATGATTCAGCCCCTTGCTGAAACTGTGCCACAAACCATTAATGCAGTTCTGAAGGCAAAAAGCAATCTAACATGTACTAGCAAGGTGTACCTAATGCAAAGGCCAATCTTTCTATTAAACAGGTATACTGTGTATGGATTCAGTCATTCGTAACCTTGTTACTGTGCTAATGTTTAAAGCCACTAATGGCACCATTATTATTAAATGACTCATAAATGAGCAGTTATTGACCACATCAATAACTGCTCATTCACAAGTACTTTATGGGTACATTAATTAAAAATAAATATGGAGGCCAATCAGTGTGTGTGATTCTGCTTTTTTAATTCATGTTTCGCAAGAGGCAGAAAAAATATGTAAATGAAAAATTTAAAAAATTAGTATTTATATTTTTTAAGTCATATACTTTACTTGCTAACTGCCTTTTTTTCCAGTGATTCAGCAGCATAAATTTTGTGCTCATGAAACTGACAATTTGTTTTTGACAATAAAGCCCTGCATTTCCTTTTAATCTGCTTTCCAGTGTATTCAACCTGACAATTCAGTGTAAGAATTGTAAAAATCAGTGAAATGGTAAATGGTAAATGGCCTGTATTTGTATAGCGCTTTTACTAGTCCCGCCTAGGGACCCCAAAGCGCTTTACACACCCAGTCATCCACCCATTCACTCTCACATTCACACACTGGTGGAGGCAAGCTACAGTTGTAGCCACAGCTGTCCTGGGGCAGACTGACAGAAGTGAGGCTGCCATATCGCGCCATCGGCCCTTCTGGCCAACACCAGTAGGCGGTAGGTGAAGTGTCTTGCCCAAGGACACAACGACCGAGACTATCGTCTCGGTCATGAAAAGGTTTAATCTTGCAGTAAACATATGTTTGATATCACAGCACTAAAGTCTGTGAGTTTAAAATGTGAGTCTTGGTTATTAAAATGTGTGATGTGTGATGAGAGCTTAACCTAATAAAGTCTGACAAATTAAGAGCATCATTCTAGTAAAATGAAAGTGATTAAAGTCGTTTCGTTTGAATAAAATGTGATTGCATAACTACATAAGGCTTAGCATTAAACAGTGTGATAATGTCTTGAAGAGTCTGCTATTTCTCAGTACTATGGTATGTGGACAAAAGTGATTTATAGCTAAGAAAAAATGAGTGTGGTGACAATGAATTATTGATTGTGGATCTCAGACACAAGAGAAAAGCACATGAAAGATACACAACAGCAACCTCTGGTGGGTCACAGGTCACCTCTTCCAGAAGGACAGTATCAGTGAAACAGATGTTAGGCACAGGTCTTTTCTGACGCCTCTCAGAAGGTTTTGAAAAATGCACACAATACACTCAAACTCTGGTGCAACATAGTCAGCAAAACGATTTTCTGTCCAGTTTAAGGTATTTTTGTAATCTTTTTGCTTCTCAGACTGCAGGTCTAAAAAAAACAAAAACGAAAAAGAAAAACACTGTGAAAAATTAACACAGATCTCACAAAGAATTTTTACTTCACTCCAACTTAGATGTTTAGAATTGACAAAAATACGCAAATAAGCATGTTTATTATTCATCTCATCACACTTTGAATAGAGGAAGTGTCTGTTTGACACATGTATGCATTTGTAAGTCTTCAAAACAACTATTATGTTTTGTACACTAATCAGAAATTAGGGGGAAATTACATCAGAATACGCAAAGAAATCGGATCAGACAAAGATAAATTCTTTCACTCACGTTAAAGTATTAACAATAAGATCCATTCATTTAATTCAAGTGAAACAATTCCAGATGCAGGATCGTACAGCATCAATTTTAAGATGGCCAAATGCTATTCAATAAAGCAGCAGCATCCTCAGGTTACAGCAGTGTCGTGCAGTTCGTTTCATGTGCAGTGAACCAGTAGACATTGTCCGAGCATTTTGTGTAACAAATAATACATGAGGGCGGTCGTATCTAGACAGGGCCTTTCTCCAGAAGTGCCAGAGCTGTCGGAGAACCACACTGCCTGCTTCAGCTGTCACAGAACTTCTGCTGGCAAAACCCACAGTGGGCATATCAGGATTCAGGATTGATGAGTCAGACACTGGGAGGGTGGGGAACAACATGTCATGTCAAGGTGGAGGAAGAGTATTAGGCAGCAAGCAAGATGCCAAGTCTGGTCTTCTGGTGTATAAAAAGATACCACGCTTCATCCGATCACGCTACAAACACTACTGCAGGAGTTCTTAGACTTCTTTGCGCAGTGCCACGCGAACACTGCTGAAGATCTTGCCCAAGGCTTCAAAGAAGGGATCGCAGAAGGTCTGGATGCAAAGGGAGTAGATGCGGCTCACGCACTGCGACTCAATCAGGCAGCTCTTGATGCAGGGCACCACAGCCCAGATGTGGCAGAAGGAGATGCAGGCAAACAGGAAGCCCCAGAGCAGGGCCACGGGGATACCAAAGACAGCAGACAAAACGCGGTAGCACCAGTATTTGGAAACAGTGAAAGTGGTGTAGCTGAGCTTCCACACCCCATCCAGGCTGTGTGTACCATCAGGCTCTGCAATGACATCCTCAAACTCCACCTAATAAGACATTTTAAAAAGCCATTCATTAATACCGATACACAAGAGCACAATGCTATTAGAGCAAGCGTCATGCACATGGCAAAGACATGCTTAATAATTAATAATCATATGCCTCAGAAAGCTGCAGTGTTGGCGCATGCAGAGAAAATAACTGTTTGTTGCACTTTGTGTGTTTCAAACAGAGAAAAACTGAGGAGTGTGTTTAATGCAGCATCGTAATAATTCTAAAAGCTTTATTGCAGCACAAACCGAAGATAAACTCGTGTAAAATTCATGAGAGCTACTTTACATTGGTCTAATTTGTTTTTTAGTTTTCTAAAGTGCAGTCTTGGTGAGCTGCTTTTTCAGCTCAGGCTCAGTGATGAAATGTTATTCAAGCTAGAAAGTGATCATGTCCACATCTAAAGCATTTTCTTTGCTTCCAGAACATTGGTTATGATCAATTTGGGAGTAAAAAGGCTGTTTCCCGCAGAGATAGCGGGGTGAGATTATACTTTGAACGAACAAATGAATGAATGAATGCACTGCTGTTCTATATTTTTCTGCATGGTCTGGGCCATTTCAGGCATTAGAGTACTATTAGAGGCATATGTAAAGCAAAAAGCAGTGTAATTTTAGAACAACCTAACACGCACGTGGTTCATACACAAGCTGTCAAATCCTCTGAAGGATTCTGTGACTAATTGAGGGATAGCGTTTTCATGGATCATAAATCATTTTGGTTTAATAAAAAAGCAAAGAATATGAAGTGTTAGTAAAGAATTGGATTACATTATAAGTGCTAATTCATCAATAAAAGTACTATCTATGCAGGAGTAAATGGATTAGAGATAGCCCTTACAGTTTGATAAATATTTCAGTTATTATGAGTTACTGTTGTATAATTTTCTGAAAACTGACAAAAGCAAGCCTGTAAATCAGTCATGAGCTTACACACTACACACTTTCGCAATCCTCATTGTTTAAATGTTTACCTTTAGTCAAACAATATATAATCTAAAGTATGGTGGGTTCTGTCCTTACATAAAGGATTTTGTGGTGACAACATGGCAACAATCACAGTATAAACAGTAACTTAAATAACACATTGTGGCACAGTGTATCAGTTTCAGGCTGTCCTGCCCCTTTCCTAAAATAAACTTTGCGTTCTGCACAAGCAACAGGAATAGCTCTTGGTCTATTTTCTTTTTGCCATTACACTCATATGTTATCACTTCTTTTTTTTTTCCAGCAACCACTTAAAAAAATCCACATTTCCATACATGCAAAAACAGATGACGGATTCTTAAAGCTGTAAATGGCAGGGTGTCGTGTCCATGCTGCACAAACCTTCACCACGTCCTCATTGATCTGCTTGGGATCTCTGTTAATCAGATCTATCTCTTTGGTATGGCTGTCCTTCACAAACTTCTCCTCATTAGTGTTGTACTGGTACTGATCCGCCATGGTCGAGCTGCAGGTCCTGGATGAAGAAAGTGAAGATAAACCTTTAATCAACCTGCGCGCAGCAGCCTCAGTTCGCTTCTGACCCTAGTATCACTACTGTGCCGCTCCCGCTGACATGCCAGGGGACAGCTGCTGCAGACGCCCTGATAAAAATGGAGGCCTGACCCCACCCCACCCCACACGCACAGAGAAGGTTTACACTCACACACTTGCACACAATGTAATGCACACAGACATAAAAGGAATGTCTTAAAGGAGAACCCAGGGTTGTGTCACATTTCACACAGGGTTGTTGGGCTGACTGGGCCGGGTTTGCACAGAGGCCCCAACTTCCACTAGAAAGTGAGGCAGAAAGTCTCATCCTGTGGCTTTAGTTACTACACACAGTCTTAAGACTGAAGTTAAGTTTAGAGGATTGACTTTAACATGTTTTCACGTTAACAATCAATGATAACAGCACTCTGTTCCATTAATGTAATGGTAATGTAATTAATTAATGTTCACCTTAACACTCAGACTCATCCTCCATGTCCTATTTTTCACAGCTTAGAATTTGTATTATAAATTATATGAGGCACTGTATATTCTTTTAGAGGGCTTGTCGGGAAGGTTTTGCCATTACATGCTGAATATGTTTGCAATTTCCAATGTTTCACTAAAAAATATGAAGTCTTTGGACACACAACAGAGTGCTCAAATACTGAAGAAAATACTGCTCCATCATTGGAGGCTAAGGCAGAAAAGTGGTAACAAAAACAATTTAGCTTTTATATTCTAATCGATATGTTTACTTTCATAATGGTAATCATAACAACAATGAGACTCAGTCATTACTTTCTATACGCTGTGGTACAGAGCATGACGAGCCCACACAAATGCATGTCCTTAGCCTTCTCGTATACTTCTGATTTAGTGACAGGGAATACATAAAATTCAATAGACCCCAAAATAAAACAGGCTTCAGTCTTTCCTAAGCTCTGCAGTTGTTGCTATCAGTCATAGCTTTCTATATTAGTATATTCCCTAAACAAACTCATACACTATTGCTGCAACAAAAAAAAAAGGAGGTGGGGAATAGAAGGCAGCGCAGAGATTGCTGTTATGAAAATTGTTTCAAAGGCTCTCAGCACCACCAGCAGCACCGGCAGCTCTATGTTGCTATGTATCTCAAACAGTTGCGTGTAAGAGAAGTACAGGAAGCTCGACTGTGGATCAAGGATTGGCATTCCTTGTCCCAGTTTCCTGTTGGTAGAGACGGAGATGAAGAGGGAGAGGTGGAATGAGATCAGAATGCATGTGATTGGGTGCCAAGCCAATTAGGGGTGTATTCTTGGCACTGAGGCAGACGGACAGAAATAGCTCTGCAGAGAGTCACGGTGGGCATACCTCTGTCTCCATGGGTGTCAGCGCAGTTAGCTGAGACTGCACTGGCTCTTGTCTTTCATTTAATGTACAGAGACACAAGCGAGTCTCATGCCTATATTTAGACTCATATAGAATGTAGTGGGTAGAGTAAGTATCACTAACTCAGGTTATATTATGCACACAGGTGGTGCTCCCTTTGCAATGAGCACTGCTGGGTGTGTAACTTGAGACAAATACAAAATATGATTTATAATGAAATGAATTTCCAATAACAATAAATTCTTACTTTGTTTAATCAAATATTAGGTTTGATCCTACAAGCTGTACAAATGAGGTGAATCACAACATTTACAGATTTGTTTTAATTTCTCAAACACAAGGGGTAGCACGCTGGTTCAATAGTTAGTTTTGCATGTTCTGCATGTCTGCATGGGTAATTGGGCTTTCTTCTACAGTCCAAAAATTTGCCTGCCAGGTTAATTGGTGTATCTAAATTGGAATATGCAGATGTGATTGGGTGCCTAGGCAATCAGAGGTCTCTATTTGAATATGCAGATGATGGTCTGTATTTGACTATCATCCACAGATAATGGCAGACAGGTTCCAAGGTTGCACACCTTCTGGCTCTTAAACTTCCACTCCTTTCGATTTACACTACATTTAACATAGGAGGCTTTCTGTTATAAATGTGTTACTTCCAATCAAGCTAAAAGAAGATTCAGAGGAACCTTTTTCCATAGAAAAATAAATCAGAGTGAAATTAGTTGTTGGTCTCCACCTTCAGCTATCATCTTGTTTAGTAGAAACTACAACATATAGCTGGACTCAAAACCTTAAACCTAAAGTTGTTAGCAGGTGTTAAAACTTTTTTTTTTTTTACATATTTGCATTCATATAGTCTTCATTAACCTCACATACACATCAGTCCATCCAGAGGACTGTCCAGTGCTCTACTAGAGCTCTTAAGGCCTCCTAATCTGTTTTTATAATCAGTTCAAATTTTACGGGTGGATATCTTTTGCAAATTAATTGCAATATTTGTCATTCACTTTGCTTTCAGTGGATTCTTCTTTTACATGTGTATTAAGGAGGTTTTTAATATAATTTATTATTGAATTATTATTTATTAATTCCCCCCAGTGTATGCTTTTTGTGTTGCCCTTATCTAGACAGCCAAAAGGTTTTATGCATAATGCACTATTATATTTAGAAAACAGTAAACGAATTATATATTTCAGTATGACAAATTACACGATAAGTGAATAAAAACATAGAATAATCACAGATGGTTAAAATACAGATGATCATTTCCCTCCCAGCAGAATTAGTTTGCAGTCTGTTGCCGCTGTTCATGTGCCATAATTGCTGTTTTAACCAATCGTTTCCACACAGTGTGTTTCCATCAGTTTTCATCTTTTGCCAGAAGGATGGTGATTTGACCACAGCACTTTCCATTACTGGTAAAGAATGGACTGATAAAAATGTTCAGTATGCTGGCCCACACAGTCTGAACCCAGCGCATATTGATGAGAAGGAGCTGCACACATGGCACGATCAACCTGAAGGACACAAAGAAGAGGACAAAATATGAGCTCATTTAATAAAAAGGAAGTAAAAATCATTTTGGACTCCTGGACGGAGTCCCCTGAATGTATCAGAGAAAACGTGACAACCATTTCTGCCTAAAGATTCTTACTTAGCAGAAAACTAGTGCAGCTATTCAGTCTTGTCTGTAAGTCTGCTTGTCACAGTGTAAGTGTCCTACCAGATATGCAGGCAGCTGAGCACAGCAAAGAGGAGCCCTGCTGCCAGTGAGACTGGCACAGCCAGCAGGAGAGAGATGAATCGGTAGCACCATAGTCTGGACACCTCAAACAGGGCGTGACTCCATAGCCACACTTTATCAAAGCTCCGCACAGAGGGGGGTTCTGCAATCACATCCTCAAACATAACCTCCATACACAAACAGGGAGACTGTAAGTGATTCCTATGCTGGCATGAATGCCGTTTGCATGTTACAAATATCAGAAAATGATCATGAGAGATGAGGTAAATGAATGTGTTACTGTATCAGAGAAACAAAACAATACTTTATGGCAGTGGTCCAAAACTATTTCTGCCATGCTCTTCCTCAGATTCCAGTAAAATTTCAATACACTCACTCCACAATTTTTATTAATGACTAACAATAAAAAATCATTTACATGTCACTAATAGCACTATTAGAGTATGTGCATATGTCCACTTGAGGTCAGTATTGGGAAACACGTTATTATTAAACTGGTAATTCCTCTTTCATTGAGTGGAAATTAAGCATAAGGAAAGTTTTCAACAAGGACTGAATTTATCCAAACTGGATAACAATTTACTCTTACAAACTTTTTAATTGGATGAATCACCTGTACAACAACAGCTTAATAACTAAATCTGAAACACAGATTTAGTTACTAAGATTTAGTGCTCCCTGTCTCGTGTCCTGTACTGTGTATTCTCTGCTCAGGTTTATGCTGGTTGCACATTGGTTACCTTAAGGCTGCTGTTGACTTTTTTGGGATCCCTGTCATAAATCACAGGCCTCGTGTCACTGTGGATGAAGTCCAGAGCTTCAGAGTGAACATCCACCTTTACTTCCAGCAGTTCGCCCAATGGTCTTTTGTGTTTCAATCTTTCGTCCTCCATGTTCAATAAGCTGCGCTGTGTGTCTGAATGGTATCATCGAAAACAGGGAGGAAGAGCAGGAGGACGGCTGGCTTGTTGCTAGCACCCAGGTGGAACATAGTATTCTGCTGACTGAACTGACTGCTGTAGAGGAATGCCTTTATTGGCTTTTACAGGCACGCTTTGACATTTTGTGACACACTACATTATAAGTCTCATTTGTGCCTGCATGAGAAATAGCCATCACTTGTGGAATCAAATCAGTCCTGACTTCCTGCTTAAATATTGCCTGGGTGATGATCAGGGGGAGTACTCTGGCACTCACATTACAGAGTTACTTCATCACAGCGACAGTGTTTGGCAGTGTTGGTCAATCAAATATAGACTCCTCACCAAATCAGCAGCTTCTTGCTAGCAGTCCCTATCCCTCACAGCATAAAGTAAGCTGTCCCACTGATTTTTATTTTGTATTCTTTTGTCTATTGTAAAACCGTGCCTGTGTGTAGTCACTTTTTTTTTTAGCTTCAGCATGGCTCCTTGTATCAAGAAAAAAAAACCCCTCAAACCTTAGAGTCTTTAAATTGTCCTCACAAAATAAATCCTCATTCATTTCAAAGCATCAAATTACAGTGTGAGCTTTATGTATTGATTTCATATCATATTAAGTGTATTTCTATATTTTGTTGTAGGTTGTGACTTTTTCTCCCCTGACCTTTAAAAATGTATCGCTGAAGGATTCTGTCACTTACGTGTGTGGCGTAGGCGTGTTTTTAACATGTTCTTTGGTACTGCCCTCTGAATTAATCAAATGTATCTTTCAATTTATATTCTGGGCACAACCAGATACAACTGTGCTGTAAAGAGTGTCAGATTTGGCCATAGACAGCACTGTCGCATCTGTATAAGACTTAATATTCTGTGAAAAAGAACACAGCCAGACACTGCAGACAACGTCTATCCTGTTATGTGTTGAAAATTATTTCAAGTCTTGGTCTTGTTAGAGACGTCAAAATAAAAGGATGTGAGGAGGATTGACTGGTGTGTAGCACACTCTGTTGGTCATGGTTCTTCATTGCATTTTTTTTAATACATCCCTGTTACTTAAATCAGCTATTCCACTCACACATGCTTAAATTGGTCTTTTTCCCCACATGCTTGGGATGCAGTACTGTGGTAGTGTTGGCAGGATCTGATTAGCTGATGATTAATAGTGTTTGGCAACCACTGTGATGAAAAGCCCCTGGAAGACTGTGTTATATGATTGTGTTCACAGTCAGTAGATTCACTTATTATTAAAAGTTGCTTACATAGTTTAATCTAGCTTGTAAAATTATTATTTTAATCAAAGTCATATCATCAAGAAAAATTAAGAGGAAAATCACAGTAAAGCAGTGTATACTTACAGTTTGAAAAGATAGCATAAGCACTGCACAAGTACTTGGTTGGGTATACTGCTAAAATACCCAACAAGAATTAAAATATCAAGTGTACTTTATCCAGATTAGGTTCTGTGTGCACATGCTTTGTGAAAATGGCAAACAATAAATGAAAACATAATATTAAATAAAACGAATAGCAAAGCCCAGGCCATAGTGGTATGACTTATAGTATTGTATGTTTTATTGCTATTTTCTGAAAATGTATTAAAACTGTACAAAATAAAACCTGAAAACAACAGTCTAGGTCATGATTTGTGTTGAGCTAGAATTCTTCACAACATTCATCATAGCTGTATTACACTATGTCCTCTCTGTCTGTAGCTCACAGGCCCAGATGAATTGCCTGAAGATCTGTTAAGGAGGCAGGCACACTGTGATTTGAAATACCTCAAATCTTCGTGACTGGAATTTTTATTTTCACGCCAGCTGCAAAATAAAAACATCAAAGAGTGCATACGTCTGTGTTGTCTGTGATCAGTTTATTCCAGATCAGGCCTTTGAAATGTGTGTGTCAAAGTGAGTGTTCTTCCCTTTGCCACTATTCAGCCGGATGAGATAACACTTTACAAATATCTTAAAACAAGCTTTTCTTCCCCCACCCCATCCTTCAATTTCCTCTATCTGCGCAGATATAAACTATTGACAGGTCTTGAAGCTCTAGAATTACATTCTCAGATTCAAAGGGTGGTAGATCCACACATAATATGAACATCAGCAAATAGGCACAAAAGCACCCAACACCAATAACCCGCTGCTGTTTTAAACTCCCTACAGCTCTGTCAGATTTGAAGAGAGAGGTCAGACTTCTGTCCGACCTTTTTCCTGTTACTGTAAAAGAAATACTCGTACATTTCAAAGCTGTTTCCACACCAGCTGTGTGTGTGTGTGTGGTCGTGAGAAATAATATGATGGTGATCCAGACTGTGCACGGTAAGAAAATTCCTCATTAAAGTATAAGACTGTATTATAGGATTGCTAGTATTAAGATCTTCAGAGTGTACATCCACGTTTACTTCCAGCAGCGTTCTCGTTAATTTATGGTATGTTTACTGTAATTTACAAGTAAAATTTGTTACTGTAAAATGTATAATACAGTGCTGTGATGCTGTGATGTGTTGAAGCTTTGCATTTTTAAATTGGTGCTACTGTATTCTCAAAAGAGTTTATTAAGCTATGTAAACTATAAATGCACCTTCTATTCTTTTTTCTTTATTTATGAAAAAAAAATCCAATGCTTTGATTATGGAAAACTGTTGTAATCAAAATTTTACCAGCTGTCCTCAAGGCAAACACACACAAACACTGGAAACATTACAACAACAAAGGCTGAAAACAGCCTAACTGGGGGAAAAAAGCAGAATAACAACAACTTATTAATTAATGATTCGAACGTAAAGATTTTGTGCTTGTCATGAGAAAATACTGAGGTCACAGTAAAAATGTACAGTAGTCGGCGGTTTACATTATCCCCAAAGACGTCAGCATTTACACAATTTATTTTTGCATCAATGTTTTACTGTGTGTCCTACTATTAATCTCTTGATTGATGTGTGTGAGTCCTAAATTGTGCGTATTATTATTATAATCTCAGAACTGTACATTTGAATAATAGAGTCCTTTATGCTCCCATGTGTACTTCTGCGTCATTAATATCCACCTGGTTAAAATAAAATAAAAAAAGCTACCACGGCATTTACCCAGGGATTAAATATACAGCTACAGTAAGGTAAGAGTGGTGCATCGTGTATAGCACAGCAAGTGAAATGGTGTTAGTCGTTATTTGCTGTAACCACACTATTCTGTCTTTTTCCCTGTTTGTGAAAGACTAACACAAACAGCAGGGGTCATAAAATAGCACTTTGTCACCACTCTCAGACCATAATCATTGCCCAGTAATGATTTCTATTGTAAATTCACTATCGTTTCCTCACCATACCCACTATTATAGTAGTCCATATTTGCAGGGACTTCTGTGATCTACCTTCAGTCTTTCTTTGCATGTTATTGATCCGTATCTGAAGTTTTAGACCTTTTAGATGTGAATTAGCAAACTCCAATCAGGATCTGATTCTTAAGTATACATCCAGCTGAAAGGCCGCTGGTGCTGTGCGAGTCACCTCCAGTCACTCAATTTCCATGACGACAGAGCCAGCTGATGCCCACGATCCATCAGCATATCTGTTGCACAGAAGAACTCAAAGGTATTAGCCCTCAGGTTCATTTGACCTCTGAACACAGAGAGCATTGGCACTTCCACGGGATTATTTGGTCATATATGATAACCACAAGCTCCTGAATATTAAATAGAAAGGCCCACAGCTTGGAAACATTTAGCACTTTAAAAATGTCAACACAAAAATAGCATTTAAATATACATTATTATTGAGATATATAATATACTTGTTATTGAGAGGAAACCGGCAACCAACTCTCAAGACCTTATTATTGCAGTATTCCAGATTTACATTCATTCCAGATTTACATTTATAAACATATAGAAAATTACCACAAAAACTGTTAAAATAAGAGAAATCAGAGAAAGGTAAATTTACATGGGAGAATAGATCATCATTTCAATAATTCAGGTTACAGTACAACCACAGTCCCTTGACCTAAATAGGAACACTTATCATAATTAAAAGATAAAATATCCAAAACATTATATTTGTACTTGAACAGATTTTTTCCAATACTATCTTAAAACAATACTATCAATGTCCATATGTATGTTAAAAGCATTATTGTAACTGTTCCTTTTGTTTATAGAGGCCACTGGATTTTGTCCACCATCACTTATTCCTTCAAAAGTGGCCTGCAGTGGCCTGCAGAAACATATTGATAAAGATAAAATGTCTTGCAAAAACAACGAACAGTGACAGTGACTACATATTAGCTCTGTAGTACACAACTTCTGCTCATCATTGTTTAAGCATGCTCTTCTGGTATTTGTCCAGGTATCTTATTTACTTGATCCACAGTATGGTTAGTGGATGGTTGGGGACTGGAGTTGGCACAGTTGGATCGAGTTTCAGTTGTACTAGTGGTTCTTTGGATGAACTGCAGGAAGTTTTCCTGAAACGAACCCTCTTGGCTTGATGCCCCAAACTCCAAAGGCTGTGTAAGGCAGCAACGTCTAAACTTTACCAGCTCCTCTCTGATCTGTCTGTTCAACAGGCCGTAGAAGAATGGGTTGACAGCAAACGAGGAGTAGGCCAGCCAGGTGACAGCTTCCTCCAAGTCCCCAGGGCTCTGCATGGAACCAGTCAGAGACATCTGTAGGTGGAAGATGAAGTAGGGCAGCCAACAAACCAGGAACTGGCCTACGATGAATACCAAAGTCAGTGCAGCTTTGCCTCCACTGAATGCCCTCTCTGGAGAAAGTCTTTGTGGCAGAGTACGGGTGGTAGTGATCATGGTAGTCTGGCTGTTGATGGAGTCAGAGCGATCCTTGGCAGGGCTTGCATTTGCCCATGTTGTTACTGCAGGGGCTTGCTGCAGGGCTGCAGAACGAGCCACCTTGTACACAGCACAGTAAACAGCAAAGATAACCACTGCTGGAGCCATGAAACAAACCACACTAAATAGCACTGCAAATACTCCTCTTAGGCGACTGTGGCTCGCGTGAAGAGAGCAGTGAGCCGCTGCAATCGAGCTCTGAGGTCCGTAAGCTGGCCATCCAAACAGTGTGACAATAGCCAAGAGGACTGACTTAACCCAGATCAGTAACATGACACCGATAGCAAGATTGATGGTCATCTTGACTTCATAACGCATTGGGTGTACAATATAGAAGTAACGTTCTACACTGATGGCTGTGATGGTGAGAATGGACAGACAAATGAGGAAAACGTTAAGAAAGATGTAAACTTGACACTCCAGAACAGTGAACACAACAGTTCCAAAGAACGGCGAGCTGGATATGATCCCCAGAGGCATCAGGAGGATGGCACACAACAAGTCAACTGCACACAGGTGGCACACAAAGGCAAACCTCTTAAGGTGAGGCGCACGAGCAATCGCCACCATCACACCAGTGTTGGCCAACAAAGCAATGAGGTTGAGGGTAACCATGCAGAACAAACCGAAAAGATCTTTGATCTGTGACTGAGAGCTTGTGACAACACCCACATCAGCAGGAACGGTAGGATTGGGTTCCCACTGGGCAGTTGTAAGATTCAGAACAGAATGATTTGCCACAGAGGCTAACATGGACCTGGTCTTGTCAGCCATTATTAAATCGCAGCTTCCTCCATTTTTATCTCAGATTTCTTCATATGTGGATCTGTGTTGAAAGGAAATGAAAAATTCTCATAAAACATCAATAAACATTTTAAAGTAGTATAGACTTTACAAGCGTATTTATGTACCTATTAAAAAGGTATGCTTTTTATTTCTGTGTATGTGATCGCCTCTGTCCATATAATGTCATGCAATTTTATTTAATATGAATTAATTGAGAAATATATTGCAATTAAATTTCCACAGTCATTTAATTCCTCACTGTGACTTGTTAAAAGGTCATAAGAGTAATAGCAGCTGGTGTAAACATATTGATGGGTAAACTTTGAAACGTTTAGAGTAAAAACAATGGTTATACAACGTTCAGTCAGCTTACTAAACTGCTGTTAAATTAAAGAGTTGTGAGGAGAGTTGTTTCTCTTTAAAAAGTCTAATCCATTAACAGCCAGTACTCTAAGAGGTTTTACAGACTGACTGATTTAGCTCTAACTGCAATCTGATAAACCTTTGTTCACACGGCCTTTTGTTTTCATCAGGAAGGAATTATTGACTCCTTTTGTTGTATTTGCAATGTCAGGATCAATTACAAGGAGATGATGTGATGTAGAAGTTATTATAATCACAACTGTGACTGAACAAATTTTGGTAGATTTGGTAGATTTTGGTAGACACACTAATAAAAGTAACTGAAATTATAAACCCATTGTTATGGTAAAATGTAGACAAGTACAAGTTACTACTTTAGACCTGCTGTAGGAACACACTAGTACCACTACCAGATACTGAAATAGATTGCAATGGTACACTTTCAAAGATTTCTGTGCCTTCATATGTTATTGTGGGGAAAATATATTTATTGACTGCATTTTGTATTTTTGTATGCTTAATAAAGAAACAAATAGAGCACTGAAAAATGAGATCAAACTGAAATAACTTACCCATGAACCACTCTGTTTCTACACCATAGTTAAATCTGAATAGGTTAACCAAGTGTCAGCGCTGACACCACTATAGCCTAAATCCCACATATTGTTTATGCAGTCCCAGCTTTTTTGTTGTTCTTGTTAATTCCACATGAAAAGTTTAAGAGGAGAGTTTCAGAGCTGCTAGACAGGTATATTCCCAATTCCATGACGGTTTTCCATTTTTAAATGATGCTTCTTCTCTTCCTGCTCCCTTCCTCTAGTAACACCCCTATTGCTGTTTGATGCTGTGTATGGCGGTGACTGTCACACATTGTATTGTGTGATTGTGTGAGTGATGTGTTTTTTGTTTTTTCAAGCAGACACACACTCCTCTGTCTTCCTCCAGAGCCCAGTCTCTCCTGGGTCCTAACAGCCACCAGTTCAAAGATTTATTTCTGTTTTTAATGTAGCTTACGTTGGCACTGCAACTGTTTTCTTTTTACATCTATTTGACTTTAAATATTTTCAATTTACATCTACTCCAAAAACTATTCATACATCTTAAACTATATGTTTCATTGAGCTGGATTATAGTATACCTGTAGAGAACATCACTCGCATAATACGAACTTTCCTAAACATTAATAAATAAATGATAAGCAGTGTTTGCAGCAAACACAATGTGAGCTAGTATCTTGCAAAATGAGTCCTTTAAACCCTTTGCAATAACAAATACAGTGCTTAAAAAAAACCATTAAACCACCTGTTATAAAAAAGAAACCACAAATACACACACAAAAAAAACCTTTTTTAAACTTAAATAAATGTGTTTTTAAAAAAAAAAAAAAATACATTTTTAAGCTGACCCACTGGACCTCTCTGAGAATTAATCAAGGATAACATTCAACCACTAAAACTAATTTTTCGTGTCATGAATCTAAGTAAGTAGCTGTAATCTGGGATCTTAATCTTCACCAATATGCTATACTACATTTTCCACTTTTCTGTAAGATAATACATTTTTGGATAAATTCACAGATAATAACAATAACTTTACTTTAGCATTAAAAATATTAGTCCGATTAAAGAGTCTGCACATGCTGGTGGATTAATCATTACATTGGGTGGTGGACTAATAAATTTGTTAAGCACTCTACATAACACATAAACATAGCATTATATGAGAAACATTATGAATTCGAAAGAGAAGATATCCAAACAACCAGTAAACATTTTAGATGATTTATTCTTTATTTATGGATTACTTGTTTACAATCACAGTCAGTGCATTACCATTATGGCATCATTTTAACTAATTGCCTTCATAATAAGAGATGTTGCATGGGCACTTCAGTATATTCTATATTCACGTAATGTCATAGTGCATTACTACAAACATTGTTTTTAATCTAAAATGGAGTTTCTCATTAATGACACCATGTGGTTGTATTTGGAATAAACCAATAAAGCATAGTGGGACTGGCTTACAAAGCAGAAAACTCCTTGAAACATTCTTACATTCGTAACAGTTCTTCAATGTTACCTAAAAATTTGCATTTTAAATTTTCATAAATATGTCTTTGTATAGGTACCATTTATGCCTCTTTCCCACACCAGTTTATCTTAATTTATCACTACTCAAAATGCATATATAGGTGCACATTCAAGACCCTTTCTTTCTGAAGCACAGGACTGTGTCCTTCGTTGTCACTTAGACAAAATGATGCGTATGCAAATATGTAAACCCTATAGAAACAGAACTGAGACGCCAAACAGAACGTGAGGTTCAATATGTAATTCAATGGTTCTCAAACTGGCAGGCTCCACCTCATTAGTTGTAAGAAGTCATCCACTGCTTCTCAACAACTAAATACTTGAACATTACTGTTTTTTCTTAAAAAAGAAAATCACATGAATTGAAATCAGTTTTCACTTTACATTTTTCACATTGTAGTCCAGCCCTCCAGTTTTAGAACCACTAACTCAATTCAAAAACAAAAATGTGCAAAGACCACCATGCTCTTCATTGTAAATTAGCTTTACATTTTTTAAAGTATGTATAAAAACTTGCAAACTACACAAACATAAGCGTAAGGCACAGAAAAGTGCATCTAAAATGAACAGATCCACATTCACTGCATTAGACCATAGCCTTATCAGAAGGACAGTAGGAAGTCCATCACCAAGAAACAAACAAAAGGACCTTCATTTTTCTTTGGTTAGAATTAGCCATACATGTTTAGCTCCAGCAGGTAGCGAAGGCGGCACTGACTCTCTTTGTAGATGAGATATTCACTGTTGCTGAAGTGGCTATCAGAAAACTGGGGTTGCTTTATTGGCTTACCCTGAGGCACAGCAACCTTCTTACCCTCCAGGGTGATGAAGATGTCCTTGGACGCATCTGAAATCAAAGAATCACAAAGTGATATAATAAAATTGACAGGAGGTGGCATTCATATTGCACTTTTCCCAGACTAATTGATCATTCAAAGTGCACTACAGGCCACAAGGTGCTTACATGAACACCTGCAGCCTATTTAGAGTCACCATTTCACCTAACATGCATGTCTTTGGGCTGGAGGTAAGGCAACTAGCACAGGGAGATCACGCAAGCTCCACACAGAAAAGCTACTGCCACTCTGATTTTCAAATGTTTATATTTTTATTCATTTGGGGGAAACTGACATAATCGGATAACATGAATAGCAAGTTTCTTTTAATGAATTTGCCATGAGTTACCAGTGGAAATTAAACTTCATCCAAACTGCCAAACAATTTCAAGGACAAAAGGCACGCAGATCTCTCAATATGCTGATAGTTTACTTTGTGACATTGTATATTTCTTTATAAAAGGTATTATTTTACCGTATAAAACTTAAAAAGTACTGCACCTGGTTCGACAATGCCTCGTGCCACCACACTATCATACCCGGCTGGAGGCGTCCTCAAGGAACAATCGTCTCTGGTAATGGTATGCTCTTTGCCAAGGGCGACCTCACTGAGAAACATCACTCCTGTATTTTTGGAAGGGCGCACTGAAGATGGACAGAAAGTGAAAAGTACAATGTTATGACTCCAATAAAGACTCAAAATTGTCTTGTTTCTTGCTTCTAGCCTTACCGTAACCTGCAGACTTGCTGTTTTCAGAGGCAAAATAGATACCACAACCGACACGGCCTCCCGAATGGGGCATTATCCTCAGACCACTCTTCAGGATAGCTGCAACCACTGCTATGTTCGTACCATGCCACAGCAGACGCCGATTGTCCAGATTATTGTTCTCATTAAAGCGCTGCCCCTGCAATGCGGAACATGTGCTTTCGGTCAGAGGATGCCCGTTTCCTGTGTTTGACTTAATAAAACTGGCTGTAGTGCCTACCTCTGTCTCTCGATCGACTTCCCAAACATTGAGAATTTTTGGTTTGTAATAGTCACCTGAAGTCGCTTTCAGGTAATTTTCTATGATCTTCAAATGCGAAAACACAAAGAGGGAAATAACACAACTGCTACTATTGTATAAAACAACATGAATAGCAGATCTGAGATAAGCAGCAGTCCAAAAACTTTGTATTTATAAGACTTAGTCACGTAAGAGACAGTACCTTGAACATTTCTGTGTTCTTTTCCATCAGAGTCAGCTTGCATTTGAGAGAATTGTAGTCTTGGTCTATAGGGTGAGGAACCGTCTGTATCATCTCTTCTTGAGCCTTCTCAGTTTCTGACTTCAGAGTCTGGGCAAGCTCAATGTCAGCCAGCACCTGTAAAAAACACACAACAGGGAACAGACTTTAGGAATGAGAACACAGCACAGCAAGACAAAGCTTCTCCTAATTTATGAACCAGAAAATCTTACCAAAAGCATCTCTTTTTTCTTCTCCACAATCTCTTTGTCATTAATAGTAGGCGGTCTGTTCCTGCCAAAGTTATGTGGGATTGTGGTGTAGAATTTTGAGGAAAGCTCTTCTAGACGTCCTTTTCCACTTTTTTGATTCATAGCAGCGTCAATCTCCTCCAAAACCTCAAAGCCTTTTGCAATCTGGACCTTGCTGAGCTTGCCCAAAGGCATCTTTTTGATGTCTGCGTAATAACCACATACAAAAAACACAATTCTCAAGCAGATCATTGCATGTTTTTGTCATTTTTGTGCCCAGGATTGCACTAAAAACACTTGACTAAAAAAGTGTTTTTAATGCAATTTAAAAGGTTTCCAAATGAGAAACAAAAATGTAAGGTTAGGTTGTTTTCAGATGAAGTGTGCTCAGTGTGCTAGTGTGCTCATAGAGGAAACTACACAATTGAGCCTTCTTTCGACTTTGATTTCAGGGTTTAGAAAAGTATAGTCAAAACAGGACACTCTCGTAAACCACACAACCTTTCAGACCAAATCAGATAGTTACTATTAAGTCTTCACAGGAAACAAGTTATGGAGGTGCAGTGGGTTAAGCATAATAATGTGTGAAGCCAGAAGCCAGCACTCACTTATTTTTAGAGCTATGAAACACGTGCAGATGCACAGAGGACAAAGGTGCAGAGAGAAGCCTATCGAGTTTTAAGCCTAGGATTGCTTTTACTGTTTTATCTCTTCATTTTTGCCTTTTCTAGCTTTCTGCCTACTGCAGCTAGCAAAGCTCTGAACATTGATCATATACGTCCAAAATGCTGAGATGAGGGAAGATATGCAGATGTAGACTTTACCCTTTGTTTGTAACAATGTTTAATCATTTACATCGCATCCTTTATTGTTTCCTACAGTTCTTAGAAATACAAGTTAGGCTTAATACACAGGAGTATTTTTAAAGTACGCACCCATTTCAGCTTCACAGGTACATTACACAACTGGTATTTTAAATACAAAGAGTGTTTGCAGACTGGATCTGTCGTGTGAAAACTTTTAAAAGTGAGACACACCCACCTAGGTTCATACATTCCATCGCCTCCTTGAACATGTCATTGCTGAAAATGAGCTTAATGAGGCTCTGTGTAGCTTCATCGAGGGTACAAGGTAGGGCGTTCTTTGCAACCTGGGCTGGCTTGCCATCAACACAGTCTACCTGCAATGTCCAAGAGAACGCACAGGGAGATTCTGCTAAAGCTCATACAGAGTGTCAAAAGTCTAAAATATTAGAGACGCAGTTGAAGAATTTGCATTATTTATTTATTTTTAGAGACTTTGCTTCTCCTACTGTGATTTTAACAATTTGAGGTTTCATAACCACGCTCAATGCTCCTTGATCTAATCATACAGGTATTCAAATTACC